TGGGGCATGGGGGGCGGTGCTGACGGGCACGGGTTTCCTTCGGGGATGGAAACGTCCCAGAGCTGCATAGAGGTGCCTTTGCACAACTTGTGAACAGGCTGAAGCCCAGTGAACTTCACGCTTTACGGGTAATTTTATGTCCCAGCGTTGTATCCCCACAGAAGGAAGGAGGGAAGGAGGGAGGGAGGGAAGGAGGGAAGGAAGCGGGGACAGTGGGCGTGACCCCGGGACTCACTCGCCACGTAAACAGCAACCTTGTCGTTCTCCTTGTGCCGCAGGAGGTTCTCGGCGTAGTTCAGACGGCTGCCCCTGAACCACTCGGGCACGTCGGCCACGCCCTTGGACGTGTCCACCACCTGCGGGAGGGCCGGAGGGGACGCCCGCGCGTGAGGGCCACACCGGGAGCAGTGGCCGCCACCCCTTCCCCGGAGCCCGCAGCACCTGCCCCAGGCCTGCAGGGGACCCTGGACGGCAGCAATTGGAAAACATTGGTCCCAGGTAGGCAACGGGGACCGTGCCCTCGAAGGCGGTTTAAGTCGCAAGTCATGACGCGGGCACTGGAAGCGCTGACTCCGCAAAGCACACGCGTCCGGTCGCCACGCTGCGCACTTGAAATGCACGTGGCTATATGTCAGTTACTCCTCAGTAGGGTTTTAAAAATGGAAGCTCAGGGCCCCGGTCAGGGCACTGTCCCCCCCACGGAAAGGTCCGGGTCCCCTTCCTGGTCGGGCGCCCACCCAGGTGACAAGCTTGATCCCGGTTGGGGCGAACTCGGGAGGCAGCCGGTGGATGTTTCCCTCTCACATCGGTGTTTCTCTCTCTCTCTCAAATCAATAAAAATGGCCCTGGCGGGTGTGGCTCCGTGGTCAGCGCGTCAGAGCGGCACTGAGGGGTCAGGGTCTGATTCCCCGTCTCTCTCCCTCCCTCCCTCCTCTCTACCTAAAGTCAATGGAAAAACAGCCTCAGATGAGCATTAACAGAAAATAAAATAAATCAGTAAGAACATATCCTCAGGTGAGGCTTAAAAAAAAAGATCAGGTTAAACAACACTGTGAATGCACTTAGTACCTCTGACCCGTACACTTTAACGTGGTCAAGACAGGAAATTCTGTTATGTGTATTTTACCACAATTTTACAACTTTTTAAGAAAATAAAAACGATGCCCAACTACTTAGGATCGTCAAGGTCCCAGGACAAGACCAGGGTTCCCCACGCGTCCAAGGGCCCCGAGTATGCACAGGGCTGTGACCCCAACACAGTCCCTTCCAACTCGCTCAGGCACTGACACCCCCCCCACTGATGTGCGGTTTTAGAGGCAGAAATGACGTGATTCCCCAAATGAATGCTTCACTGCAGAGCAGCCGCAAGGCAGGCGCCCGTGACGAGGCCTCCACCTACCTCGTCATACATGCGGGAAGACACAATCCCGCTGAATTTCCAGAATTCGGCCCAGAAGTCGGAATATGACTCCACCGACCACTGGTACAGGTCGTCATAGTTTCCTGAAAATAAAATAAAGTGGCGCTGAGCTCAGGTCGCCCTCAGAAGGGAGCTCTTGGCAGCTCAGTAAGGGACGGACCCGCCTGAGGAACCACGGGCAGGTCTGGGCACGCAGGGCATCCAGTGAGAGGCTTAGGGGATCTGCGTTTTCAGTGACGTGAACCCACCCCCCGCTAGTCCCCAAAGAGCACAGAGCAATGAGGCAGCCAGTTCCAGTTGTTTTAACCAGCCCGCCTGAGAACAGGGACCCTGGAGCCCCCGGGCCAGGGGTCAAATCCGCTTACTCGCTGTGGGACCTCAAACAACTTACTGCTGCCAGTGCTGTGCCTCAGTCTCCCCTCTGTAAAATGGAATTGCACCCTCTCGTCACAGGGCCACTGAGAGTTTAAATAAGCCCGTGTGTAAAAGGCTCAGCACGGGCCTGGGCGTCATCAGAGCCACGTGGAGAGTTTGCTATTATTACGCCAAACAGGCCCAGGAAACCTGGACGGTCAGAACTGGAAGCTTGCTGACGGCCCCTCGCTCCAGCACAGGTTTGGGGAGCGTTGGGGGGAGTTGGGGAATTATCTTATTTTTGCCTTTGAGTGAGCAATACAGTCACATAACTCAAAATGACAAAAGTGTAAAAGGTCATAGAGCAAACAGAACATTCCTTGCCCGGAGGTCACCCACCAGGGCGCTCTCTCCCCCAGAGATGTCACGCGTCCCTCGCCCACTTGGACACAGCAGGAGCATCCTTCTCACGCCAGGGACCTGGGGAACATCCCGACCCGCTCGGGCCTTTTTAAACTCAATATGTATCAGTAGGACTGACATCCCCGTGCCAGGGCTCCCAGCCTAGGAAACCAGCGGGAAGGTGACCAACAGCTGGACTCTCCCACTGCCCTCGGTCAACTAGAGTCTACTGTCCTCGCTGTGCCCGTCCCTGGGGGCAGCGGGCACACACTGAGGAAGGCACACAGCAATCCCTGCCTTCCAGCACTGCCACTTCTCTCTGTGACGCCAGTCACTGTCCCTAGTCATGCTGGGCTGTGAGCAGAAGGGGAGGTAGATGGCCGACAGCTGGGGGCAGGGCTAGGACACTGGGAGGGGGCCCAGAGCCCAGGGAAGGGGAGCGGGAGCGAACGGGTCTGCCAGGGGGACAGAGAAGGACCCACCCAGAGGTCGCACCGCTGAGAGCAGGGGACAGGACCTCAGGGCCGGGAGCTCAGAAAGGAAAGGGACTGTGGTTCATAGGAATGACGGCTGCACATCCTCCAAGCCCACGCGAGACCTTCGCCCGGCGCCTCCCCATGCGTCTTGTGCAGGGGACGGAGGCCCGGTCAGCAGGGCACATGGGGGAAACGCCCGGGCCAGTGCGTCTGCAAAGCTGGGGTCAGTCCTGACTTGAGACACCGTGTTTGGGGGCCGAGAGCAGGCCACGTGCCCCTCTGGGGCTCAGTTTCCCTCGTGTGGAGAAGGCCACGGCTCCTGCCACCGTGTAGACTTTACCCTGCACTCCAGGGCCAGGCTGGGAGACCTGCCACTTGCTAGACCATGACTTCGGCAAGGGCTTCACCTCTCTGAGCCTCAGCACTGCCATCTGTAGAATGGGGCCAACGCGGCTCCTTTAATGGGCTGTGGTGAGGACGGGCGGAGCCTCCGCACAGCTGCAGGAACGCAGGCCCCGCCAGTCTCCTGCTCCGCAAAAGGAAGCTAATGGCCCTTATCACAGGGACGCTGCGAGGACCAAATGAGTCAAAACACACAAACCACTAAGGACAGTGCTGGGCAGAGGGAAGGCGCGAGTTACGGGAAGTCCCGGTCACTCGCAGGAGGGGGACGCAGGGAGGCTGTGACAGTTAGTCCCTGACAAGCTAAGACATGGAGCCGGCTGCATGCTGGGCTCTCAGGCCAGGAGGAGGCGGAGGCTCTGTCTCCCCTGGAGGACTCCCCGTCCCCCGAGGCTGAGCGAAAAGCACAAAACCTGCACCAACGGGGCCCATTGCTGAGGATCAGGTCAGTTAACACGGGCAAAGTGCCCAAAAGGGGTCAGGCACGTCCCATCGGAAGTGCTGACTGTACATTAACTGTCACTAACGCTGCGCCTGCCCGGCCTGTAAGCACCCGCGAGCCCCCCTTCCCACCCACCTCTCTTCCTCTCCACCCAGGGGGCCTGAGCCCGGCCTGCACCTCCTGACCGGCCGCTGCAGTAAGGCCCCGGAGGGGGCAGCGCTGCCCTGCAGCTCCCACGCTGGAGCGGGCCCCACAACTACGCTACACTCCAGCTATCTGAGAACAGGGACACGGCCTCCTAAGGGCTGGCACTGTCCCAGCCGCGTGCCCACAGCGGGTATGTTCAGAGAGGCGCTTGGAACGGTCCTTCTAAAGAGCATGGACCCCAAAGCAGTGTCACTCCCCTTATGAGAGGGCAGGACATGCAGCACGTCCTGTGGGTCATGCTGGGCCTGTGGGGGAGGAGGGGGGTCTGCCTGGGCATGGGGGAGTCCTCAGGCCAGCTCAGCTAGGAGCAGTGACGAGACACGGCCCATGGCCCTGGTGGTGGGAGAGGCTGGAACTCCTCGAGGGTCTGTGTGCCCCTCCGGAACTGCAAGGTTTGAAATGTCATGCTGACTGCGGTCTGCGAAGACAGGCTGGTGGAGAGAATGGGGGAGGCTGCCCCCCATTCCATCCTTGGGCCTGAGCGAGGCTGAGGTGCACGCTGGGCCAGACTACCTGCGGTCACCCTCATGCCATCACCCAGTGACGGGGTGGCCCATTTTACAGACGAGGGAACTGAGGCTGGGGGTTATCCAGAGGCTTCCACCTGACCACACAGCTAGTAAGCGGGGGAGCCAGTTCAAAACCCAGGTAGTCGGATTACAGCGAGGTCTCGCCCACCTGACGGGGCCGCCCCTACACGAAATCGGTGAAATCATCTAGTAAAGCGTCAGGGCTGGACAAGCTCTCAGAGGACAGTACTGCAGTCGCCGGCGGGGGAAGAAGGGACGGACTCCAGGCCAGGTAACGCAGAAGCAGAAAGCGGGCCAGCTCCCAGCTCTTCTTGGAAACCAAAGCTGCCCTCCCCCGAGTCCAACACACATTAATTCATCAGCTACTGCATGAAAGGCCCAGGAAAATAAGAACCATCTGCCTCCAGCCGCTGATTCCCTCGGAGCAGAGGGGGTGAGAGGCACGGGACTGGGTGAAGGGGGCTCGGGGGCAGCTAAGACGCCGCCTGCTCTGGAGGGCCCAGGAGATGCCAGGTGCACCCATCTGCAACTCCACGGTCAACAAGGAGCCGCTGCGAGCCTGCGACAAGGAGCGACAAGTGAGACCCGCCTCAAGCCCGCCGGGCGGACTGGGGGAGAGAAAGCAGGAAACAGGCAGACCAACCAGAGTCGGGGGGCAGGAAACCAGGGCCCCAGAGGTGCAGGGCCGGGGTGGAGGGGGGATGGGAGGAGGCTGTGCAGCGGAGGTGGGCACCCTGTGCCAGCCAGAGGACAGGCAGGCCTCCGTCCCTCCATCCTGGGTGGCCCACCGAGAGGGGTGCCACTAACAGAGTCACAGGTGCCGCTGCAGACGGGTGAGGGGTGAGGGGAGGAAAGGCCCTGATGAGCTGAAAACCCCAGAGGCGGAGAGGAGAGGTCCAGCGGGGGGTGGGACAGGCCAGCAGGGCTGGGGGACAGCACACCCAAGCCTCTCTCAGGCCAGGGGCCTCCTCGCCTGGCGCACACCCAGCCAGGTGGCCCCTGAGGCCGGGGCGGCTGGAAGGAGGGAGAGCAGGTCTGCTCGGGGCTGGGGGGGAGAGCAGGGGGCCGGGGCTGCGCCCCACCCCCCAGGCCGGCTCCCCGCTGACCGCCCAGCTCCTGGGCGCCCTGAAATCCCACCTGGCCTTCTAGCAGGCGGCCTGGGGGGTGGGGGGCCAACGGGGGGCAGGACAAGGTGCTGTGGGCCGGCGAGCGACCCCCACCAACAGAGCGGACGAGCTGCGAGGCGGAAAGACCCGCGTGGGAGAGGAAGCCTCAGGCGGGAGCGCAAGACCCCGGGGAGCCCCTCACCTCACAAGCAGGAGCCTCGAGAGCAAGGGGCCCCTCCGCACCCCAGGGTCCCAGGCCACAGGGGGGGCCCCGCCAGGGAGAGGGCGCCCTACGCGCAGGGAGATGCTGCAGGCAGGAGCCCAGCACCCTGAAAGCCAGGAGGTGACAGAAAGGGGGCACCCCCCCCGAGGCAAGTCCGAGGCGCCCCACCCCTGGGAGAGGCACCCAAGTGCGGCGGTTGCTCCAACCCCCAGAAGAGGGAAACCGGCCATGG